AACAAATTAAATACTCTTAACTATTTTATTTCTTGATTTCTCATTGACATAAATCCTTTTGTTTCATCTGCCTTGTGCACTTTGCTTGCTGATAGGCACCGAGATAGTTATTGAGTCATCAGGTGACCCGAATAATCCCTCAAGAAATTGGCGATTTGTGCTTCTGGAGTTGTTGGGTTCTCATTACGGCCGCGATTTGTATGGAGCAGGACATGATCTCTGGAGGTACTCAGTCTTGTTATATTTTGTACGAACTATTTATATAGCGGTTGCTAGAGATTTATGTTAGTGGTTTGTAGGCAATGGTGGCGTTCCGATAAATTTGACCATACGGAAAACGACCCCCTTTGTTGAAGACGAATATATATCTGGCGCTGATGTTGCAGTAGTTGGTGGGTTGACTAGACTCTAGAGTTCTGCGGCATAATGACTGCGATGCAAGAAGCGCCACTCCCATATATCGTGCACAAATTACATACTTGTTTGTGTACTCTGTCTGAATGGAAAACTTATTTCCCATTTTCCATTGACAATTTTGTGATATATTAGTTCTGTAGAGGTGACGCTGTAGATCATAAATCGTGGTTGTGGTAGGAGCTCTAGTGTTCTATGAATGACTTTTAAAAAAAAAAAATTGTTCTTTCCTTTGAAATGAATGGGACCAAATTTAAAAGAAATTTTGGATTTCTTCATTATTGCTGCCATTTTGTTTAAAAAAAATTGCAAATTATGACGTGAACTCGGTCCAACCTGAGATAATTAAAGCGCTTTGGTCTAATGCTAGATCAATGAAACAATGTCACGTGGCAAACAAAATTGAGTATAAAGTGCATCTTACCTAATGGAGATAAGAACGATTGGACCTAAACTTAATATATGTCCTGAGGGTAAGGAGGACATTTTGTCGATTTTAAAAGTTTTTGAGGATTGAGGAGATGTTTGCATTTAATATCTGATGGTGTTTTGAATAGGATTGTTTCAAGTAAGAGAATACACGTAGCTAACTAGAGAGTTTTGGAGTTTTTTTGGGGTACAGTTTGTGAAAGGGTTGTAAATGAAATAAAAAAGACAGAATCACCAGATGCATGACAGCGCACTGAGGCCCTTATGGCAAAAGCCGAAAAAAGGGGGAGGAGTGAAACCAAAAAGAGGCCCGGTCCAAAATACCCAATGAGAGACCCGATTCGACCGCCTAATGGCAACGACTTTCTTGGTAACTTGCGTGATCAGTAGGGCACACGACACTATTCTCATTCGAAGGTGGACGCTGACATCCTGTGTGTTTTGCGCATTAGGTACTCAAGCTCTTCATGATGTTTCTAGATATTTAAGCGTGCCATTTTTAGCATCAGTAGTTAGCGTGCCGAGCGTCTGGCCAAAAATATTATCGTGTCGAACGTGAGTTTGTCTGATGTAGGTCGTATGCTGTTATTAGTTAACAAAGCAATTGCTTTAACTAATTATGAGCATGAAACACGTTTCACGTAGTATATTGCTCGTTGATATGGTTAGGCCCTGACTGATTCAGGGCTTTGTGTACTCTGCTGCAAATTTTACAGCACAAGTGTTTCCGAATGCCTTTTCGTATAAGATATTCTTATGCGTGAGAATCTAAGACAAGGGAGACGGTGGGCACAAGTTGTGTTCAATCTGTCGATGTACGGGTAACTGTTCACATGTCAACCTAAATTTGTTAATTATCAGAATTCTAATAAACTAATCATGTAGTGTTTACCTTCTAAGAGGAGGTAAGGAACATAAAGAGGAGAGATTCGAGCTTAGGTCCCCTTTTTTACAGGTTTGGTAGTTACAGTTATTAGTACTTAATTGGGGTCTATATTTCATTTTCACGCGTCTATGTGCGTGTCAGTTTGTGTGGCTTAACTATTCTTATTTTGAGATGTTTATAGAAAGATTTTGGTTTGGAAATATAACCCAGTCTTTGCATTTAACTTCTGATCTCTATATATTACGTATATTGTCCTGTTTACATATTATATTCTGTAGCGTAATTTCTTATTCCTTTCTCATGTTCCTTTCCCCTCTTTCTCTGTGTGCGATGTCCCAGACAAATAGTTAAGCTATTACACTGGCCACTGTTTTCTGGGCAACTTTCCGGGCTGGAATTGCAGGAAATTCACTTCATTTTTTCCTCTGTTTGGCCTATTTGGCATCATAAGCCTCATATTTTTGTTCTAAATTCTTTCTTGCCTGTCTCTTTCAATCGGTACCATGCTACGCCTTGATTTAGAATCAATCACTTTGCAATTCCTTGGGCCATGCTACAAATTTCTCTGTAATTCCATTTGGCCTCTCATGTTGTTTCCGCCATTCCATACTTTCATTCTCTCTTCTATCAATGCTTCTGGCTTCAATGCTTCCTTCGCAGTTGCCCCTGAAGCTTGCTATTTTAGATTAGAAAAATGCCAGGGATGAGAGGCAGTGATGTTGAAGACCAAAATCCAGAGTCACGAGAGAAGCAGGGTGACCTTGAAAAGCCTACAGATTCTGAAGAGAAGGTAGACTTTGATGGGGAAAATGATGAAGGGGATACCATGGAGGAAGAAGTTGAATATGAAGAAGTAGAGGAGGAGGAGGAGGAGCAGGAGGAAGTGGAAGGGGAAGAGGAGGATGAGGATGGGGGGAGGAAGAGACTGAAGGAGCTGGCAATAGAAATGTTGCGGACATTGAGGATGAACATGAGAAAAGGAAGCTAGCAGACCTTCTTGAACTTCCACCTCATGGATCAGCGGTTTACCTTGGTGGCATTCCTCACAATGCTTCTGAAGAGGATTTGAGGGACTTCTGTCAATCTGTGGGAGATGTATTTGAGGTAAGATAAACAAAGTTCTCCCAAGTTCTTTCTTGACTGTTCATTCAAACTAACGTATTTAGTGCAGGTTAGGATTATAAGGGGAAAAGAATCTGGTGAAACGAAAGTTTATGCTTTTGTGACCTTCAAGACGAAGGAGATGGCTTCTAAGGCTATTGAGAAGCTGAACAAGTCTAAATTTCAGGCGATTTTCTGAACTTAGTTTCCTCTCTCTCTCTCTCTCTCTCTCTCTGTTCATTAGATCTTGGACATAGCTCCCTCTTTTTGTTTTGATTTTTATTTTTCATTTTCCCCCTTATTTTAGAATCTTTTCTTTTGGGCTGACTGCTATTGCCGTAGTGTTTACTTCTGTGTTTTTTGGAACCACCCTCTGATTTAACGTACTTCCGTTCCAGGGAAATGAAATAAAATGCTCAGCATCTAAAGAAAAACGTAGGTTGTTTATTGGTAATATTCCTAGACATTGGACGGAGCAAGATTTGAGGAAGGCTGTTACAGAAATTGGGCCTGGTGTCAATTCTGTTGCTCTGTTGAAGGTCTTTGACACCATTTCCATTGCATATTTTATAATTTCCTTCCCCTTATTGCCATGATTGTGAAGTTTCTGATAGCACTTTGTGCATTGAGCTATTAACCATAGCTGTTTTGGTGTTTCAGGAAACAAAGAATTCAGATCGTAATCGCGGGTTTGCTTTTATTGAGTATTACAATCATGCATGTGCAGAATATTCATGGCAGAAGATGTCCAACCCAAAATTTAAACTTGACGACAATGCTCCGACAGTAAAGTGGGCTGAACCTAAGAATGCTGAATCATCTGCAGCCTCCCAGGTAATCTATTTTGTGCTTATAATTTTAAAATTTATTATGTGATTGCCTTTAGAAATTCCGTGATAAAATTGTTTCTAGGTTATTTTATGTTACTGTTCCTGTCGTCCTACATCTATATAGATGTTCATATTGGATGGTTTCCTTAACAAAGATAATCCCGTTTGTTTTTTACTCTGTCAGAGGTGCACTCATTTTTCTGGTTTAGCAAACTCTTGTATGTTTATATCCCTTCCTTTTTTTTAATGATGCTAATTTTGGCCTCTTGTTGGTTGATGAAAAGACTCAGTTTGCTATTTATATTGTTTTAATGGCCTTCCCACGGAAATTCTTGTCAATTTTAGCCTATCGATGAACTAAGTTATACATACTTCTGAAAGCTGTTTGACTGATGGCTGTTGCTTGATGCAGGTAAAGGCAGTGTATGTAAAGAATCTGCCAGAAAACATTACTCAGGATCGCCTTAAGGAGTTGTTTGAGCATCATGGAAAGATAACAAAAGTGGTACTCCCTCCTGCTAAAGCTGGACATGAAAGGAGCAGATTTGGTTTTGTTTACTTTGCTGAGAGGTCATCTGCCAAGAAGTCGTTGGAGGATGCCGAGAAGTATGAAATTGACGGTACATCTTCTTTCTCCACTCCCTAGTTTTCTCAAACAACAGTGTGGGTGAGGATATTACAATTTTTGGCTTTGACAGGCCAAGTTTTGGAGTGTTCGTTTGCAAAACCACAAGCAGATCAGAAGTCGTCTAGGACACCAGTTTCACAGAACTCAATTGTACTTCCAACTTATCCACCACAACTTGGCTATGGTTTATTTGGAGGTGCCTATGGTGCTTCGGGTTCAGGATGTGGTGCGGCTAGCTTTACACAAGTAAGTTGCACTTTTTCATGCTTTAAGCTTATCTTTGTTGTGTATTACTGACATCTGTGGGTGGATGGGATTTTTATCTTCAAAATACTGTCTCTACCCTTCACCTCAAAAATAAAAACCGATCTCTGCCTGAGTGAACTGCACATCACTAATCAATAAATTATGATCAATTTGGATCAGTGCCCTTTTGATTGGCCCCGTTTGTTTGGCTCTGTATTACTGTTGCTGAGATAGAAGTTACGCCTGATTTTGCAGCCGTTGGTGTATGGTAGGGGAGCGGCTTCTGCTGGTATCGCAATGATGCCTATGCTCTTACCTGATGGAAGGATTGGATATGTATTGTGAGTGTCATTTTCTTGGTTTGGATTCACTTGTTTATTTGGCCGAAGATGTTCAGCTCACTTGTACTCGTTTATAGCAGGGTCTTTCATTAGCTTTGTTTCTTGTTCAGCAAATTGATTATAATGGAGATTCCTTGTTTCTGGCTGTAGGCAACAGTCAGGATTGCAACAGCATTCTGGTGCATCGCCATCCCGTGGTGGCAGGAGAGGTGGCAGCTCCAGTGGTGGGAGACGCGGTGATGATAAGAATTGGAGCCGATATCATCCCTACTAACATGATTAACTTCCCTTCTACGAACTTGAGGCTTCCCTACTGGTTTCCTCCTCCACTGGAAAACTCAACTTGTTGCAGGCTGATCAAAATTTAGCTCTGGTCTGTAGCAATTCCATACATGTATGTTTTTCTCGGGGTAAATATTAACTTCTAACTTCTTCATTTTTGCTCGCAACGGCTGTAAGGAAAAAATAGAACTGAACAATGTGCGGGATGATCTGAGACTACTATTGACAGGGTTAAGGGTGTCTTTTGATCATTAAGCCGAAATTATGTTTTTTTTTTTTTACAACTTTAAAAACTACTACATTTTTTATTATATGTTGTTGAAGTTAAATTTAGGCAAAAAAATAATTTTTAATTCTCAAATTTTCTTTCAATTATCGATTCTGGCTTTTGAATTTTGACTTGAAATGTAAGTTAAGAATTTATGGAAGTTGGGTTATTTCAAGTCAAGAAATTATTAATTATTCTGAATCAAAATTAAAAAACTAAACTAATAATTCAAGAAAATTTAAGTGATAAAAATTATATTTTCTTTAAATTATATATATAAATATATATATATATATATATAGATGAATAGATAGCAAAATGACAATTAAGTTTCAACATTTCAACTAAAATTTTTACAGATAATTGTAAATACAGAACTTGTAAACCTATCATAATTTACAATTGAAATTATTGTATTTGCAACTATCTAAATTAAGAATTTTTGGGAAATTATTTGTCATTAAATTTAAATTTTAGGACATAACTATTATTCTCTTTATATTTATAACCATAAAATTGAAACGAAAATAAAACAAAATATAAGAAAACAACTTAAGAGACTACTCAGTTTCAATGGCGTCCAGCGGTTGAATGGACTTGGCTTGGCTCCGCTGACACACTGTAGCTTAACTACATTTTGGTTATTTTTATTTTATATTTATTGAAATAAAAAATAATTTTTTTAATAAATGTAATTACAATTGTTCAAGTTTAATATAAATGATCTAAATTTAATATTTAAAATTTTATTATTTTTACGAATTGATTATCTAAATATATTTGGGATAGCGTGGATTTAATATTACATTTTTTTATAATTTTATAAATTTTAATATTAAATTTATATCATTAATACTAAATCTAAACTGCCCAAACTGATAATTAAATTTATTAAAAAAATTTTAAAATTTAGATTATCAATATTAAATCTAAATGATTAGATTTATTACATTTTTTATAAGTATAAATCATTCATATTAAATCTGAATTGTTTGGACATATGATCATATTTATTAAAAAATTTTAATAATTTTTATTTTGATAAATATAAAATAAAAAAAATAAAACATTAAATCTTCAGATTTTTTCCAAAAGGCAGAAGAGCTGCGGAGGCGGGGAGTGTCAGCGGAGCAAAGTCAAGTTACTCAGAAACTGCTATTATATGACGTGTGAACAAAATCGTTCAAGAGATTTAAGTTTCTTGTTCAGGTTTGGACTGAGAGAATACATAAAAATTAGTTTGTTTTTTGGGCCAACAAAACTAGAGTCTAAATTGCAATGGCGCATTTAGATATAGAAATTAAGAGTGTTCACACAAAAGGATGGAACCAAAACACTCTTATTTTATGTCCCGTCTCAAAAAATTATTAAAACTGAATTTTTATCCTTCGTTTCATTAAGAATTAGGATGAAATCAGGATAAAATTAGAACATCCTACTGTCCTGATAAAGCAAACAATATTGGAGAAAAGTCTAAATAAAACTTTCTCTATTAAAAAATTTAAGGCATTTTTTGAAGAATTGGATGTTAAAAATGTAAGACAATTTAAGTCCTTCGAAGTGTAATTATTACCTTTTTTTTTAAAGTGTCCCTATTAATAATAATTTTATATTTATAATAGGGTGTTTAATAGAGGTAAATATGAAAAGAATCAAAAGATAGAATTAGTTTGACAATAGGTAACTACTTTATTGAGAGTGAGATTCGATTGGAAATGCTTTACATTTTTGAACGGAGCAAGTAACATTTATTAATTAAAATTTTAAATCACATAACTTATTAAGTTTAAAACTAAAACAATATAAGTACATAAATCATAACAATTATTGAATTATATCAATCACAACTATAAATGTACAAATTAAAGTCAAGTATACATGATACATAACACATTATAATAGTACTTATAAGTGATTTATAGGCTATAAGAGCAACAACGACAAACAAGCCTGACACAACATCAAGTTATTGTTCTTTTTCTTTATTTGAAATATGTTAAGCTAGAGATTGTTTTTAAAATAAGACAAGAAATACGATATAAATAAAAATTATTAAATAGGTAGATATAAGAATAAATTATATTAAAATAATTAATATATTATAAAAAAGATATTATTATTAATATAAAAAAATTTAATTTTAAATAAGAATAACAAGTATTGAAACTATAATTAATATAAATATAAATTATATTAATATATTTGATGTATATTTTTTTAAAAAAATAATATATATACATATATGTGTGTGTATCTATATAATATTCAGGTTGAGATATCCTGTGAGTAATTTCAGATCCCATTCCGTTTTAAACTACTTTATTATCCCGTCCTGCAAAGTTCAGTCTCGATTATCTTTGGGTCAGGACCCATCCTAATATGACTAAAACAAAATTAAATCAATCAGAACAAGTACAAGGTGAACATTCTTAATAAAAACGTCATAAAATGCAACCGGAACAAAGAGAATGCATTAATGCGGAAGAACAATGTGCGTACATGATAACTAGACAAGGTAAAAAAGAGTATGCCAACCAACAGTGAAAGACGCTTGAGCTTCAGGAAACCGAGTCTCCATTAGCAAATAGCACTGATAAGATCAACGGAAAATCTGGAAACTACTTATATAAGCTCTATACGGACATCATCTAAATCTGAAGAACAGCTTGATGACCACTTAACCATCAAAAAAGGTCAAGCATAGCTGGCGCGGATCAACGGTAAAATGCAAGCTGGACCCACCATGTTTTTTAGCAAATACTCATACACGAGACTGATATACTGTAGAAAGAAACGAGAACAGCTAAGAGTCAAAAATCAAGTAACATTGCAGTCCCTGACATCTTTTCTTCAACTTAAAAATATAAGTTGGCTGCGCTCAGACAACAAGGCTTTCCAGGCGGATTGTGCGCCATTTACTTGTGCAACTTTGATGCCGCCATCATCATCCATAATGCCCTCAACAGTCCTCCCGGACTTGGTTCTCCGTCGTTATTTCTCGTATGGTTTTCACTTTTCAGCTTTGTGTTTTGCATGAAGAAAGTTTCTTATTAAAACCAGCCTTCAAAGCTTTCGTTCTAACATTATATACATTACACGGATTTTAAACAGGAATCTTGCAGCACTTCTGAAGGCTAAATACAAGCGAATTGACTTGCTTTGAGTCTAAATTAGTACCGAAAATTTACAGATGACCTTTGATCAAGGTCATCAAATCGATTAAGACCTGTTTCAAGGTTTACCATCTCACATCAGTCCTCCATCATTTTGGATAAAAATAACCACCTCTCTTATACAGACATCAATCACGATCATATTACACCATATAGAATTGTCAGGAACAAAATACTGAATTGGAAACAGACAAGAAGTTTGCAGTTAAAATGTCGGGAGAGAGCATTAATAATCGAATACAACTTGAAATTAATACCAACACATGAAACCTAAAGTAAATATGCATAAATATCAAAACATGTATCCAAGTTATTGTAAGTGATTGAGATTTAGTCATAATCAAGTCTATACATATACTTTTGGACATACTAATTTCATTGATACTCCTCATGTGAAGGCTGAGAAGTCCTTTGGTGGTTCGATCCAAATGTTCTCAAAAGGGTCTTGTTCTCCCCAGTCATGATACTGCTTATGAGGATAGTATCTACAGTCATCAAGAGAGAATGATATGCAGCGTTTTCCATAAAAACGAACTTTAGAGAAGTAGACGTGGTTTCTCATTATTCCAGGGAGATCAGTCCTTGAATGAGATGACAGGAAGCTAGCAAAAAGAGTTACTCCCTCAAGTGTTTTCATCTCTTCCCACTCCAGAAGTTCCCGATCTAACTTAAAAATAATTGGGTTTTCACTAGAACAAGTATAGATAACTATTATATCTCCTTGGTGCTCTGTCATAAATTTCCCCTTCCACCAATTTTTGGCAAAGAATTTCTCTGGGCATTTGGGTGGAGGTACCGATAGAACATTCCATGTACATTCACCTGGGTCAAAAACCCCTAGCCAACCTGTAAGGCTCAGACAATAAAAAAGTCCATCACAATAGACAAGCTTATTCCAAATGCTACTGACAAAGGGCAAACGGTTCTGGTAATTGACAGTAGTCCATTCTGTTGCCCCAGGAAAACAAGTGCTAATAGCCACAACGGTAGGACTAACATGCTTAACAGTAAACAGAACACAGCTGGGAGATGTTGGAGCACAGGAAAAGGCAACTATCTGGTATGTCATCTCAAATCTTGGCAGTTTGATTATCTCCCGTGAAAAAGGATTAAAGAAAAACACCCGGTGTGTTCTGGGTCGGTAAAGTAGTAACCAACCATCTTTTGTATAACACACTCTAGAGCCAGTTAACTCTGGCAACTCAAGGGAATGGGTCTTGCGCTGCACAGGGTCATAGAAATCATACCAGCTGCCAAATTTTGGAAAGTACATGAGCCATGGGGATTGATTCACAACACGAACAGCGGTAGCAACAGAATGCCAACTCTTGCAAACGGCAGACGCATGTACATTATCTTCTAGGGCCAGCTGGGACAAAATCAATTCTAAGAGATGCGCAGGAAGATCAGACCAATTTTGCAGCTCCAAATGTTCGTTTTTCACCTCATTTGCTGCTCTTCTGTTGTCTGCAATAGTATCACTTAACCTAAAGAATACAATTGCCGATCAGTGACAGATTAAAAATAGAACAGATTCAGTGAATATCCTTAGATACAACAAGCATAAAACTACTAAAACCTAGATTCAAACAGTTCTCCACCCAACAAAGATGCAGATAAAGATGAATCTCGTTTTTTTTTTTTTAATACAGTATCTACTATATCATGTTAATATTACTTAATTAATAGTACCAATCCTTTTTATTACGTTGTTGTATACAAGGGTAACTCCGCCTATGTTTATAGCCGGTCCCAAGCCCGGGTAAAGGAGGAGGGTTGTGTTAGGCCATCAACAGCCAATGTAAAAATTTGTTGAATCTATCATGAACATGGACAATAGACGTTATAATGTTAATGCTAGGTCGTTGCCCGTAAGTAACGCGCTGCATGGCTCGAGTACAGTGATAAGTGAGTTAGAGCCGCTGCATCGGCGCCCGGATGTAGTGTTAAATGAGCAAGGGCTACCGCGTCATTTTGGACGCACGCGGCTAAAGAAGTTAGTCCATAAGAGCAAAATTAGATTTGGTACTTGGAATGTTGGGACATTAAATTGTAAATCTGTAGAGGTTGTAGGGGTTATGATTCAAAGGAAAATCAATATCCTTTGCTTGCAAGAAACAAAATGGCGTGGAGAAGAAGCTAAGGATATTCAAGGTTTCAAACTTTGGTATACAGGAAAAGTAAGTGCACGCAATGGAGTAGGCATCATTATAGATAAGGAGTGGAAGAAGAACGTTGTAGAAGTTAGCAGAATTGGAGACAGAATTATTTCTTTAAAAATGATAATTGGACGTGAGACTGTTAATATTGTTAGCGCTTATGCGCCGCAAGTCGGGATAGAAGCCAGTCTTAAGGAATTATTTTGGGAGGATCTGGAGGGGTTGATTCGACACATACCACAGAGTGAAAAGATTTTTATTGGAGGAGACTTTAATGGGCATGTCGGGAGGGAAGCTGGTCAGTATGCGAGGGTGCATGGTGGTTTTGGTTTTGGAGAGCTAAACAATGAAGGGCAAACTCTTCTTGATTTCTCATTGGCGTATGATTTTAAGATTGCCAACACTTGTTTCAAGAAGAGAGATGAGCATCTCATCACCTACAAAAGTGGAGCCTCAAGGTCGCAGATTGATTTTCTTTTGGTTAGGAACACAGATAGAAAACTTTGTAAAAATTGTAAGGTGATCCCTGGAGATGCTGTAACGACACAACATAGGGTCCTAGTCCTTGATGTGTGTATTATGAGTAAAATCCAAAAACGTCGACAAGTAGTAACACCAAGGATTAGGTGGTGGCAATTAAAAGGTGAGAAGCAAGATATTTTCAAGCGAAATCTTTTGGATAAAGGAATTTGGGATTCTCAGGGAAGTGCTAACATCATATGGGAGGATATGGCTAAAAAGATACGGGAGGTTGCAAAAGTAGTTTTGGGAGAATCGAAAGGTCTGGTCCGAGAGATAAGGAGTCTTGGTGGTGGAATAATAGTGTACAGGACAAAATCAAGTATAAGAAGAACTGTTTTAAAGCCATACATTTGTGTAACAATGAGGAAAATTGGGAGAGGTACCGTATGGCTAAGAAGGAAACTAAGAGAGCTGTGGGTGAAGCTCGTTCTAAAGCTTTTGAAGAATTTTATAAGAACCTTGAGACGAAGGAAGGAGAGCAAAATATTTATAAGATTGCCAAGAGTAGGGAAAGAAAATCAAGAGATCTAGAACAGGTAAGGTGTATTAAGGATGAAGAGGGAAGAATTTTAGTTACAGATGATGAAATTAAAAATAGATGGGAGACTTATTTTTCTAAACTTTTCAATGATGGAGAGGATTCATCTAGTAACTTGGAGGATTTAGTAACTGGTGAAGGAGAACAAAATTTGTCATTCTATCGAAAAATACGTGATAAGGAGGTAAAGGAAGCTCTTAAGAAAATGGCAAATGGTAGAGCTAACGGACCTGATTGTATATCTATCGAAGCGTGGAAATGTTTAGGTGAAGAAGGGGTGAGATGGTTAACTAAGTTATTTAATGTGATTTTACGGTCCAAGAAAATGCCTGATGAGTGGAGGAGAAGTACATTAATTCCTATTTATAAAAATAAAGGAGATATTCAGAATTGTACTAACTATAGAGGGATTAAACTCATGAGCCACACAATGAAATTGTGGGAGAAAGTAATTGAGCACAGGTTGAGATTGGAGACAAGTATTTCTGAGAATCAATTTGGTTTTATGCCAGGTAGATCAACTACAGAGGCGATTTATCTACTAAGGGGATTAATGGAAAAGTATCGTTGTAAAGATAAAGATCTACACATGGTTTTTATTGATTTGGAAAAAGCTTATGACCGTATACCAAGAGAAGTGCTTTGGAAAGCGTTGGAAAAAAAGGGAGTACGGATTGCTTATATTAAAGCCATACAAGATATGTATGAGGGGGTAAAAACTAGTATAAGAACGCCTAGTGGTCAAACAAAGGATTTTCCTATAAAGATTGGGCTACATCAGGGATCATCTCTGAGTCCTTATTTGTTCAACTTGATTTTAAATGTTTTGACGGAACATATTCAAGAGGAAATCCCGAAATGTATGCTCTTCGCGGATGATATAGTTCTTATAGCAGAGACAAGAGAAGAGGTTAATTGCAAACTTGAGTTATGGAGGAGGACATTGGAGTCGAAAGGTTTTCGTCTGAGTAGAAGTAAGACGGAATATTTATATTGTAAATTGATAAAGGACTATTCGAAAATAATTTGGAAGTGAAATTGGGAGATCAAATTATACCTCAAGTGGAAAAGTTTAGATATTTGGGAGCCATTATCCAAATGATGGCGAAATCAGTGGAGATATTTCACATAGAATTCAAGCTGGGTGGTTTAATTGGAGAAAAGCTAAAGGAGTTATTTGTGACCGTAAGGTGCCTAATAAACTTAAAGGAAAGTTTTATCGTACTGCTATCAGACCGGCAATGTTATATAGTAGTGAATGTTGGGCTCTAACGGGACAGCAAGAGCATAAAGTTGGAGTAGCAGAGATGAGAATGTTACGATGGATGTGCGGACATACACGTAAAGATAAAATTCGAAATGAGCACATACGTGAAAAAGTGAGGGTGGCACCTATTGAGGAAAAAATGGTAGAAAATCGGTTGAGATGGTTTGGGCATGTACAAAGAAGACCAAGGGAGGCACCAGTGAGAAGAGTGGAACATATAACTTTGAGTCCGATTAAGAGAGGTAGAGGAAGGCCTAAGAGAACACTCTTGGAAGTTGTTGAACGTGATCTCTTAATTAATAATTTCTAAAAGCTTAATAAATGATAGAGCACAATGGCGTCTTGCAATCCATGTAGCCGACCCCACCTAGTGGGATAAAGGCTTGTTGTTGTTGTTGTTGTTGTTGTTTTGTATACAAGGGTATGAGTCATTTCATATCATGTCCTCTCTCTCTCTTGTCCACCTAAAGATTCTGTACACCAAACATAAGCTTAAAGCTCATCATATGATCTAGAAGAACGCTAATAATACAACGTCAGGAAGAGGAGTAAATGACACTAACACATCTCCAAATCAACGGTTTAGCTAACTCCAACATTTAAATTCACGAAAACAAAGGCTAGAGTAAGGTTTAAATGATACTAAACGGGAAAAGAACAAAACATAATACCATCTAAGAATCACTATTACTTGTAAGGGTTAAATGTACAGGGCCTGAAGCCATTCCAGTTTAGTAAAAGCTAAGCACAATAATAGTTAATTGTTTAGAAGATACATCATAGTTACAAAGACTTCAATAATCAATAATTCAAACTGCAGCAACCCATTCGTGAACAAAAATTTCAGAATTTAGCAATGATCTAAATTATAAACCCTAGAGCAGTCACGATCATAAACTAAGTCCATTTCAAGATGAAGTCATGCGCCAAATTTATGAAATTCAGACTCAAAAACAATAATTTAACAAAAGTAAACGGGCAGCCCCAACAAATCCATACTGATCCAGCACTGAATTCTCAGATAAATATATCCTAATAACAAGGAAAATTAATTTTTCAACTAAATAAAGCAGTGCTTACGATTTCAACTTCCTCCTCCTTTTCCCCGACATTATGCGAACTGAATTAGCCAACGAAGTTGCTCTCAAGACAAGGAGTGTTAGAGAGAGAACGAGAGAGAACGCGCAGAGAGGTAAAGACTCGAGAACTGGGATTCCACGGAGAAGGCATGTATTAAGAGGCGAGAGAAGTGACGGTAGCACGTGCGAACTAGGGCGGATATTATATTATATTATATATATTATATATATATATATATATATAATATTCTAATTATAATGTGAAGTTCGACGAAAAACTCTTACATTTCATGAGTGGCAAGTATATTTCATTCTTTGACTTTCAAATGTACGAGACAAAGTTGTTCAGGCCAAAAAAAAAAAAAAACAGAGAGAGTGACAAAGTTGTCTTTAGTGTATGAGAATGAGACTCACACTACCAGCAAATAATAAAAAGATTGAGAGAGAAAAGAATAATCTTATTATCATAATAATTAACTACTGACTTACATAATAAGTTATAAAACAAATGAAAATGCCCCACATCCAGGAGATTGTTGATTTACCTAAACATCTGCACATAGCATGAAATTTATTAAAAGCCATGTCAATCAAAATCATGAACAATGTAAATTCCCTGGCCTAGATAAAATCCATCATTATAAAGAAATGCGAAAAATTATAAAAAAAATGCTTCTCATCAACAAAGGGACTTGCCGTGAATTGAAGCCTTGTCTTCTCTCATGCACTAGGGAATAACAAAAATTTGGTGGAAATTATTTCTATTGCAAGACCAAGAGTGTATTTGGATAACCCACTTTTAATATTTGAGAAGTATTATCTCACTTTTAGGATAAAAGTATATCCTAAAAATGTTTTGAAAATATTACTGAAAGTAATTTTAAGATGCAAGATGAAACTTTTAAAAAGTAAATTTGAAAAATAAGGTATAATTTAATTATGATATCTTAAGTATAATCTATTATTCTTTTATATAAAAAATATTTCTAATTCATTGAGAATATAATAATGATTAAAATAATAATAATTAAATATTAAGTTATTAGCATTATATTGAATAATTAATCATCTTAATTTTTAATATTAATGTATATCCAACTATGTATAAAATTTTTGTCCCATAAATCAAATTTGTGTTTTATACTTGTATTATTTAATATATTAAATTTTATGTTATTTAAAGTTTTATCAACTAATAAAGATTTGTCCAGTTGGTTAAATTTTTTGAATAAAAAAATCATATATATTTTTTGAATCATGTTATTTTTCAATATTAATGTATGTCAAATTATTTATTATATAATTTTTCAACATATCAAATTTTATATTTTTATTCTTATTATTTTATATTAAATTTTGTGTCAATTTAATTTTTTTCACATTTTTTAATCATTTCTAATATATTATATTTATATAAAAAAATTATAAATTATTAAATTAATATCCTTTTTTGTCATTGTATGTATATTCAAAACACATTTTAAAAATATAAATCAACATTAATTCAAATAATTTTCATTTTATCAAATTTACTTTTAAAAAAATGTCTCCAACCATAAATTTCATTACAATTGACTTTTTTTAATTAACTTTTATTAAGTGAACTTTTAGTTAATGAACTTTTAACAAATAAAAAATAAAAAACACACCAAGAGTTTTGTCATGGCAATCATTGGATGTTCTTTAGTAATATTCTTCCTCTATCAAATCTTCAATTGCATCACTTCTATTGTCAAGGATCAAAGATGGAGCTTAAGCGTGGCTAAAAAATAGTTAGTTGAGTCATAGTATTAGGAAATAAAATACTTTATTTGCTCCAACATCTCAATTATCAATACATAAGTTTAAATATTGTGAGGGTGCTAGAATATTTGTTATATTCTTTAATTTTGTTATTTTACATTGATGTACTTAATTGAGTGGTTGTTTCAATTTCAATTGTGTCGCTGGATTTTATCAATGCCTTGATAAACTGTGGCTATAGTGGTGGTCAATGGTCAATTCTGGGGATGGTTAGCGGCACATTGCGGTGAAAAGAAAGACGAATTTGTTTTTTTTTAAAGGAAGTTTTGGAATTTCCATGGTATAAATATACACATTAAATACATGTACATATCTAACATACTTTTAAATAATCACCTTGACCTTTCTTCCATTTCCATTTTCACTTGCCCTAAATACTCTTTCAATATGCTCCCTCCATTTTTATTTGTAAGAGAAAAAAACTATATCACACAATTTAAAAATATCAGTTAATTATATTAATTGTGTCTAAAAGTAAAAAAATAAGACTACAATACCCTTCATTAATTATGTTATTCAAACTTTCATTAATTGTTTCTTATAATTATGAATCATAAAATTAGGAGGTATAATTTAAAAAGTTTGTAATAAATGCTTATTAAAAAAATATAATTTTTCTTATATAAAAAAATAAGTTAAAAGTAATAATTTTTTTTACAAATAAAAATGGAGGGAGTATCAAATAAGACAAGATGAAATCCACTAAAGTTTAGGTAACTTTTCCTTTTCACTTGTGTGCCCATCCTTTGGTGAATTACAATGTGAGAGCATCACCCTCCAGTTACGAGTAGCATATCCTCTTTTTCTAATGAATGCAAGCAAGCATAGCAAAGAAAACATCCAAGCAAGATTATTTCATCGATCTTTTTAATCTTTCAAGGCAGGCCTACTATGTAATAGTGCATTGTATTTACCTTCTTAATATGCCATAGTACATATCTGTAGACTTGTGTATACCTATATCTCTGATTCACGAAGTTACTTACCAGGATATATGTAATGCACAGTGTCCATTTAGTATTTGATGCTCTTTTTTACTTTTTTTTTTCCTTATGCTGGTTGGTACTTGTTACTATAGTGGCGAGCTCTTTTTATTATAGCTAAATGCTACCCGAAAACTTTTCTTACTAAATATATTTTATCTATTGACTATTGCCTTCTTTAATTTAAGTAGATAACCAGTTTTGCACCACCTATAAACTTTTCTTCGGCACAGAGCTGAATTTTTATGGTAACTGTTATGTGAGCCCCTTTGAACTGAAATCAACCATGTAACCATAGCCTATTCACATGACCTTGCTTGATGTGTTTTACTTAGTAGACGTATTTCTTTAAGCTTAATGGATATTTGTACATGTGGAAATACCGCCAAAGTTTAGTCTGGAAATTTTATAATTTCTTTTCTACATACACTGCTTTTGATCATGCAATGTGTAGATTGGAATATCCTTAAAATCTAAACCCAATTAATTAAGTTTAATGAGGGTAATTAAGTAAATTAATGTGGTGTGTGGCCAAGGAAATCTAATTTTTGTAATTGGTTATGATTTCAACCCTAAATGCGGGTCCAAAGTGAAGTCGAGTCATTCGAGTATCAAAAGGTGATAAAGAATTGAAGAAAGGTTTTTTATGCCACATGTTGTGGCACGAGGAGTGTCCACCATGGCACATAGAAGCAACCAACATGAATTAGGCCTCTTTGTACTATGCGCCACGGTGGGAAACTGCGTGCACCACGATGCATAGCCAAAATTTTGATTAAATCAGTGCATGTCTGTTTGAAAATGCCTTCCTTTAACTTTATAATCCCCAAAACCAAATGAAATAGCTTCAAAATGCTCGTACTAATTTGCTGAAATCCAGCCGGCACTAAACAAAGTAGCTCGATACTAATAACAGGAATTGAAAGCTACTGAGGAGAAAGGGAAGACGAAAGGCACAAGATTTGCTCTACCAGGGCATGAACTTAGGGATCATTAGAGATATTTTGAAACTTTCCAACACTCAAGGTAAGTACATTATACTTTCCTCTTCCCTTTTCTTACATTTTTATGAAGATTAAAGTTAAGGTTTGAGTTAGGAAAATGATTTTTTATCCATATGATCTATAAGTCCAAACCTAATGGCTAAGACATGAATAATGAGAGTAATTTTAAGTGTTTAAACCTCACATTTATAGTTTTATGGGTTGATGATTGTTGAGGACCATTAATACCCAAAAATAGCAATAAATAAGGTTGTTGAGAGTATTTAATGGATCATTAATGACAATGTGGGTTATTGAAACCTAGTAAACCCATTAGGTATAATTAGGAGTGAGTTTATGGCTTTGATGAAAGGGAGTATATAAAGTTATAACATTGGAAATTTGCCCAAAAATAGAGTAATGATGTTATCCTTATGAAATGATTGTAGATTAACTCAATTGACACCGTTCAAGTTTGAGAAGAAGTTTTAGAAGTTGGTATTTCAAGGGATAAACTTTTGACTCTCAAAGGTTGAGGTAACCGAAGAAAATCTAGTTTGTATAGTTGAATATTAATTAATTATTTATTGAATTTATTGGTTTGATACAAGTTTGGCATTTTGAATATCCATTGATGCAAATTTGGCATGGCTTGAAATTGTGTGGAATTGTTGAAAACAATGTGCATGTTTATACATGTGTGAATAATGATGATGATTGAGAGTATGAAACTATGTGTTTAATGGTATATGGAGTATAGTGGAGAAAGAGAATTTAATAAATATGATATGATGGGATTAATGTGTATTAAATGGCATATAACTTATTATGTGCATAGCATAATTATTGACGAGAGTTCACCTAAAGAGAAGAGTAGATTGGTAAATTGACATGGGATTTATAGCTTGCCGTTGAAATTGAAAGCTTGCCTTTGCACTAACTGTTGGAATCGAGAGGTAGTCATTGTCACATAGTTGATTTGAGACTATTTCACTTGTTCTTTGAGAGACTTGAACCTAATTAGGCTCCAACGATTCATGAGGAGGCTAGATTAATGGTATGACACCCCATAATTGTTAATATTGGGAAAAATTGCAGTACATAAGTGAGTAAGTTAACCCTGGCCCAATAACTCCTCACAAATAAAAAGCTGGGTTAATTTGAATTACGAACGTAGCTATTAATAGCTATCAGTTTCATATCGAAGGTAACAAAAGGGTATAAGACTGGCATTGATCATGCATTTAGTTTCGGCTACATGATTGTTATTATTGTGGTCCGACGTGTTTTAGGGAAGTATTGTTGTTATTTTTACAACCCTAAGATGTGCATAATTGTGATAAATCCTATGATTGTATGATCACATAATTGTTATTGTTGTGGTCGAGGC